AGCCACACCACACCCAACAAGCCACACCCACAGAACTGGTAGTAAAAAAATTTGAATCCTACCACTGCTTTGATTTTCCAGTAACTACTGAAATGGGTAAACAGGAAAACTAATTTCAAGTTTACAGGACACGTTGAACAAAATATTTAGGGTTATCATCCTTAAATAGACAAAATCCCATCATAATCTAAACAATGGCATCATGTTACAATGTATTATCATTTTTTTAAATGTTGATCGCTCTCATAGTTGTAAGAATGTAAAACAGACCTGCCTCAGAATGATTGGGTAACCATTTGTTATAGTTTCCGGAATGACTGGGTAACAATTGTGTTATAGTTCCGAATTTGGATAATATTGCATAAATCTGTATTTGGCTATAAGGATATCAAAATACTTAAGTTTTTTTTCTCTTTCAATTCTTTAACAGGGCAGATTTCCTGTGAACAAAATGTTGCCCATCGCTATAAAGACATGCATATCTTTATTGTAGACATACAAAGTAAAGATAATTATATCTTTTTAAAGCCGTATTTCACTTTATCCTGTCCTTTACTACAAACATTCGTATGGAATGTCAAAGAGCTGCTGGTTAGTGTTTTTAGAAGTGCTTAAGCAATGAAAGAAAATCAGGAAAACTTAACTCATGTTCCATTTTTAAAAAATAAAATTTAGGAGGCTGGTATTCACAAAAACATTTAGTTCTCATCGATACTAATAACACTGCTGAAATCTCTTAGCACACAATGTAAAATCAATATAAAAATTCTTGGACTAATGAGCCCTGGATCAGAAGACAACCTACATATTCTGATTCTTATCCATACACGAATTAGGTATAAACAATTGTTTTACTGTGCCTTTCTTTTGATTAAAGCAATAAGGGGATACATTTGAAGCTATTAGTTTATCACATTTAGAGGTAAATAGTAACATTAACATTTGAACAGCCATAATCAAATTATTAAAATGTTTAAAGCATAATTTAGTTTTGAATTCTTTATCTAGCTCACAAACTTCTCATACTGAAAGATCTCAATATAACCTTTTGGCCTTTCTAAACTGCAGACAATAATAAAAATGCCCAAACAACAACATACTGTAGAACCAGAGGGATTATACTTGAAGTAGCAGCTCCTTTTTCTATCTTTTGCTCTAACACTAAAACTCTTCAGGGATTTCAAAGCCAGGACGCTGCAGATGAAATGATGAAAATGCTATAGAATTTAAGGAGTAAAATGAACATTTTTCAACTTGAATATTTTTCAACTGTGAAAAGGTCACAGCTTAATCTAAATGGCTAGAAATTCTAGGAACTGTAGCCCATTACGTCAGAGTCAACAATTTGAGGATTGTATTTAACATACTAACACTACAAGAAATAGTGTGAATAGAAACAGATAGTGAGGCAGAAATTTTTTCAAGAAAGGAAGTATATTTTGTAAAATATAACATACATATACATATATATACATACATATATATATATATATATATACACATACATATATAAATATATATTTATATATATATTATTTGCCCATCACATCATAGCATACACTAGCATATACTTTCCCAGTGTAGGGGAACAAACTGTCCAGATAAAAAAAACAAAGGTATAATCAACCATGGGCTTATTTTACTACAAGAAAATCCTGGGAATACAGGTAATCTTCGACTTACAACAGTTCATTTAATGATAGTTCAAAGTTAAAATGGCACTGAAAAAAGTGACTTGTGATCGTTTTTCACAATTACCATCTTTTGCAGCATCCACATAATCATGTGATCAAACTTCAGATACTTGCCAACTGGTTCATATTTATGACCGTTGCTGTGTCCCAAGGCCCATGTGATCACCTTTTGTGATCTTCTGACAAGCAAAGTCAATGGGGAAACCAGATTCACGTAACAACTGGGTTAGTAAATTTACCAACTGCAATGATTCACTTAACAATTGTGGCAAGAAAGGTTGTACAATGGGGCAAAACTCACTTAACAAATGTCTTCCTTAACAACAGAAATTTTGGGCTCTGTTGTGGCCATAAGTGGTAATATTTCAAGCTGTTTCGTCTAAATCTTTTATCCTCATAATAATTTAAAAACTACCAGGTAGTTTCTAGATGATCCAAATATGCATTCAATTTTCTAGTAGATGCAGTAAAAATGATTTTAAAAGCCAAGCTAGCAAATTGCCAAAAAGTTTCTCTGAGGCTTCTAAATAAAAATGAATGAGCAAAATGATACGGAAAAGTAATCGTGCCCAGATCATTTGGCCTGTTGGTCAGGAAATTCACCTTTTTGTGAACTATTAAACTGTCAGAATTTTCCATGTCTATCAGTTAGGTTTTTCCAATTTTCTTGGAATTGGAAACATATTTTTAATCTTTTTTTAATAAGACTTTCTTAAGTTTCAACAACAGATAAAATGCAAGAATAAGATAAATGTTGATAAATTATTTTCTAAAATGGAGGCTGGATTCACTACAGTAAGTCAGGTCTGCTTAACAACAGATTGTTGTGGAACCAAGTTCAAATAATACATTAAACCTTAAACTGCTGTTTCTTAAACTTTTTTTTCCTCCAGAACCTCTTTCTCTTTTAAAAATTATGAAAGACCCCAGAGGATTTTATTTAAATTGGTTATATTTATCAATATTTACATTTAAAAATTAAAACTGATGCATTCACTGCTGTGTCTCACAATTGTTTGATGGGGTTTTAATATTTAATTATATTGCAGCATAGGCTGACAAATAATTTTGTTTTCATGGATCCCTTGAGAGTCATGGGGACTTTTACATCAACACTAAGACCACACTTTTAAGAAACACTGCAACAAACTACAGCATTAACAGGATTAGAATGAAAATGTTGAAATAAATGCAAGAAATGGGAAGGATCGACTATCCTTTAAACCAGTGGTGGTATTTTACCGGTTCAGCCTGGTTCGGGCGAACCAGTAGTTAAAAAATGTTACCGTTCGGCTGAACTGGTTTTTTTTTTTCCTCCCAACAACCAGCTGTTCTGATGATCAGCTGTGCCAGGTTCCCCCTCGCTGTTTTACTGCTTTGCCGAGGAGGCTTCCCTGAGGCCCAGGAGGCAAGAAAACGGTGCGTGGGGGGCTGCCAAAAAAACCCCCACACCCAGCCAGTCACATGGCCACATGCACCTAGCCACAGGCAAAGAACCGGTAGTAAAAATATCTGCATCCCTCCCGATTTAAACTTTCATATTAACTTTCATTATCTAAATCTTTCTAATCCTAAATTATCTTCTCTCTCGAGGTACTTAGATAAAGTGATCTGGTAAAACCAAGGCGGTGTTTCAGTAGAAATATTTCTAAAAATCTCCCACCATTTCTTTTAGGCATAGTTCTTTCCAGGTGAAATTTTCTGAACTACTGAGAAATTCTGCAATTGTACATTAGAACTTTTCAACTATCACTGAATGATTCATATTGAAGTTGATATTTTTTTCAACTTCCAACATGTTGATACCAATGCTCGTTACTACTTATTATCACTGTATTCTTATATTTTTTTGCCTTTTGACAGTAACTACTGCCAATAATTATACTTATAATATAGATTAGTAACTGGATATTAGTTATGAGATTTTAGTATTCTAGTAAATAAATAGTATTTTACCATCTCAACACTTTGCCTTCAGTCCTAATAAAATATAATATCCCACAATATATTGAAATTACTGTAAATGTTTAGCTCTTTATAGTCTCTATGAAACTACTCAAGTAATACTTTTCACTTTGGCAGAAAGTCAATAAAAAACTAAGGAAATATCTAACCTACCCACTCATACTTAAAATAGCTCAAGATTATATTTGTATTTATCAGTACAGTATTTCTGCGAAGTAGTTGGGAACAGAGAAAGATAACTGAGAAAGGTAATTCATCCTCAACTTGTACAATGTTTCATGTATCTATAGCAGTTTCCAATAAAGAACATTATTAAGACCAGTGGTGGAATTCAAATTATTTTATTACTGGTTCTGTGGGGGTGGCTTGGTGGGCGTGGCAGGGAAAGGATACAGTAAAATCTCCAGTCAGAATGAGTATTTTCCAGTTCTCCAAACTACTCAAAATTTATGCGAACGGTTTTCCGGAACTGGTCAGAACCTGCTGAATACCCACTCTGATTAGGACAGGTATACAAGTCCTCGACATACAACTGAGCCCAAAATTCCTGTTGCTGAGACATTTATTAGGTGAGTGTTGTCCCATTTTATGATTTTTTTCTTTCCATACTTGTTTGCTTGTCAGATTGCAAAATGTGGTCACATGACCCCGAGACAATGCAATCATCATAAATATGAATCAGTTGCCCAGCATCTGAATTTAGATCACCTGGCCATGGGGATGCTGCAATGGCCGTGTGAAAAACTGTTATAAGTCACTCTTTTCAGTGCTGTTGTAACTTCGAACGGTCACTAAACAAATTGTTGTAAATCAAGGCCTGTGTTCAGAAAATTAATTTTTGCATTAAAAACCTTCCTATATTATAGCTTTCCAAAAACAGTTACCTTATATATTGTTTCTGTCTATTCAGTACAATATTTATGTCTACAAAATTACTGATTTTCAGGTCATTCTTTATTACTTTTCATAACTGATGCAGTATATTAAATGGCGCCATAGTTCCACCACCAATTTGTCTACAGAAATACTGTTGTTGCTTAGCAAACTTGATAGAGTACTTACTGACTTTGGGATAGTTTGGCTAGACAGTTAACTTATTTTCCTACTGCCAAGCGTCCCTGGATGCTTGACTTGCAAGTTTATTTAACTAGCATTTATATTTACATTTATATTTACCACAACAATGAAGGCATTTTTAACAGTGTGCTCTCAGGCATGGAGATCTCAAATAGCTATTTTATTTCTATTTTCCTTTCCCCAACCTCTGCTACAGCCAATATTTGGCATGATTGAGTTTTAAAAATATACAGAGTTCTACTGTAGCATGTTTGTTAGCAGTAGCCTGAAGTAGAGAATATTTGACCCGTGTTTTGTAACAGATCTGAGATCTTCACATCATAAATGCTTACTGCATCACTTAGTTGAAGGCCTCCCTGTGGTGTCAGTTTCACAACACAAACACATTTACAACTCTATCTGCAAAGATATCTTCAGACAGATCACACACAGAAAGTCAGCATTATCTTTTCTCTCACTATCATACAGCATTACTTCCTGAAAGATCTTATTAAGCCTAATGGTTAGTTAAGTCCCTCAAAAGTATGACTATTTGTATATGATACAGGCTCCAACAGACTGGCCACTAGATTTAAAAAAAAATCAGGATCTAGTCTTGAATAGGCTATAAAGGGAGCAATTGGCCCAAAATCACTAAGAGATATACAAAACCTATACTTTAAAAATGTTCACACCTAGACCATAGCCTGGCTTTGCTGACAAAGCCCAGATTCACACAGCACATGAGGGATCCTTGTTAACACCATCAATGCTAGTTTGGGTAATGAAATATCTGCAAGAAAACAACGCTTAGAGAGCACCTAGGATCGCTCCTTTCAACGCTGAGCTGCAAATATTCTCCTTTTATTGGTACACAGCCCGGGACAGTCCTTCACTTAACGATCACAACTTGAGCCCCAAATTTCTGTTGTTAAGTGATTTGTCAAGTGAGTTTTGCCCCATTTTACAACCTTTCTCGCCTCAGTTGTTAAAGGAATCACTTAACAGTTGATATGTTAGTAACCCGGTCGGTAAGTGAACCTGACTTCCCCATTGTCTTTGCTGGCCAGGAGGTCACAAAAGGTGTATCACATGCCCTTGGGACACAGCAACGGTCATAAATCTGAGTCCAGTTGCCAAGCGATTGAATTTTGACCACACCACCTTGGGGATGGTGCCAAGGTTGTAACGGTGGAAACCGGTCACTGGTCCCTTTTTTTGGTCCCCTTTTTTTTTCCCTCGGTGCCTTGTAAACTCTGATCGGACACTAAATGAACTGTTGTACGTGCAGGACTAACCTGTAACGCGGGTTACAAGGGCTGGGGAAATCACAAGAGCGGAGTTTACATGAGTAACGTTGCATTCCTTCCCCGCCTATTTGACAAACACCAAGATCCATTTCCTACTTCCAAGAGGGGGAAACGAGGGGAGGGGAGCTCTCAACTCCCATCTCCTCCAAAGAGAGCGACAGGCTCTTCCCACGCCCCATCTCTCCTTCCCGCGGGCCCGCCATCTCCGGGATCCCCTCTCGCTTTGCCCCCGCATTCACCTCCAGCTTGTGGTTGATCTGGGACACCGTTTGCGCCTTGTGGCAGAGCTGGGCGAAGCAGGAGCTCAGGCTGGTCATCTTCTGCCGCCCTTCGTAAGTGATGTCCGCCTGATCCGGGTCGATCTCGCCCAGCAGCAAGTCCACATCCACGAACGCCTTGTCGAATTCCTTCTCCAGGACTTCCAGCCAGCGGAACATCGACAGCCCGCCGCCGCCGCCGCTTCCACCGGGAGAACAGGAGGTGGAGGAAGAGGAGGAGGAGGAGGCCGCCGCCCCCCCGCCGCAGGCCCCGGAGCCCGATCCCCCGCAGGAATCCACCCCCACGCCGGACATGGCTCGAGGGTAGTAGCGTTGCGCTCCTGACCCCGACGCGCTACGGCCCAACCTCGGCAGGGCTGCGGGACGCACGCGTGCCCTCCCGCCCGCCCGCCCTCAGCGCTGAGGAGACGAGACGCGGCGGCGTCCAGCCCCGAGACGCAGGAGGAGAAGGAACGGCGGCGATTACAGAAAGCGACTTTTTTTCTCCCGGGCGCATGCGCTAAGAAAACGACTGCGCTTCTGTCACCCGGCCGGTGGCTTAGAGAAACCCGTCGTGAGGGAAGATCGGCAATCGGCTTCTTCGGCCTGCCACAAGACAGCCGAGTTCGCCAAGGCAAAGCGAGACGATGCCCAGACTCGTCGAGCGGGGGCGACGTTCCCCTCCGCCTTTGACTTCGGGGTGAAGGGTGGGCGACGGGGCGGACGCGAGAAGCGAACGGAGCTTCTGGGCGGCTAGGATGCGGGTCAGCGGGTGGTTTTCGGGGAAGCTCACAAAGTTAGTTGGTACCTAATCTCTGACTCTATGCAACCGTCTTCTGAACGAGGAAAAGAACGAGAAAAGGGCTTGGGCGAATGGAGTGGGGGTTTTTTTCTTCTCCTTTTTCTTTTAAGGTCCTTTCGGCATTCTCATACATACTCGTTCCTGTGACAGAGAAGGGCTGGCAGCCAAGTCAGTGAGTTTTATTCTGGTTCAAGAACCAGTGAATGGCATTTGTGAATGTGGATTGCTGACTATGCTCTAAGAAACTGCTGCTCAAATCAGTCTCTACAATCACATGGCAAAAGATGATCACGTCTCCTTTATGCCAGTGTACCTACGTACATCAGTTGTAGTTGCAGTGGTAAAAGTTCACCATCTTTCACAAACTATATATTAGAAGATTGTATTGTTGGTAAAATAAAAAATATAGCAAATTAAGGACCCAACTTAATTTGAAATAGAAAAGGAGTAGAAATGAATTCAAAGTGTTACTGAGAAGCTGAGCTAAAATAAATAGAAGCTAGATAAAATAGTGTTAGTAGTGTCTACTACTGATTTCCCAAACAAAAGATAGTTTTACAGAGGCAACCATCAAGATCCCCTCCAGCTGAATTTAATGGCTAGTGATAACATGGTCATATCCTTGCAGTGTTTGTGGTAGAAACATAGGAGCAGTTTGTCTTTGCTTTTTTCGAGGATTCTTATAATTTTCTCATGCAAAGCTATTGCCTTGAGATTTCCTGATGTCCTTGCACACCCAAATACTAAGCCCTACCCTGCTTCATTTTTTCAAGGTCAGTAAGGGTTGTCCCCTATTCTAATGTTTTCCAAAAACAAATGGTAAATCTTTCAGGGAGGATCTTGACACCTGTAAGGAGATAAACAGCCAAATATGTTGCTTCAATTAATTGATATTCCCAAGCAAACAATGGAGCTCAGACAGCACCAAGGATGGCAAACTGTTAAGGCAGGCCAACTGTTACATTTTTATATATTCAGGTAATGCAAAATGCTTGCACTAATAAAACATTTAAGTTATATTTTCTCTATGCTCAAAACCCTGTTTATATTATGGGGAAAATACAGCTCTTTTCTCCATTTTCCACAGAACACTTATGATTGCAGAATACAAATACTGTATAACTTTAATTATCAATCTCTGCAAAATGTAATCACCGAACCCGTAGTAACACCATTTGAATCCTACCTCTGGCTAAGACCTCCACCCCTGGGAATCTTGATAGCCAATGGAATACTTTTCTTACACAGGAACAGGAAACACTAAGGTGGGCCCAATAGAGGGTATATAACTAAGGGTCTCTAGCATCTTGGCCCTTGTTTTCCTTCACCCAACATCTTGAAGCATGTGATCGTCCTTTTCACTTTGGAGCTCCAAGCCATGTGGTCCTGTCCACCATTAACCATCTTTCCAAACAGCCTCCATGTTTCCAGTGTCTTTTACCCCACTTGGAACTGAACCCAGAAGGATATTTCTTCCAACAGGGTGATGCCCAAAATTTCTAAAACCTGAAAATTTCTGATATTTTGTTTTAAACAGAAGTGTTTTGGGGAGAACAGAGAAGAAAATAAGAAATTGGTGGCCAAGGAGAAGAAAGAGAATGAAAAAAAATGTGGAAAAAAGATGAGCGGGCTGATGGGCTATGTTGCAGTTGAAGATAATTGGTGACTGAGGAGAGGAAAGTAAGGTTCCTGGGCAGAGGGGACAGAGGTTATCGGACTGGTAAGCTATATCATACTTGGAGCTATGGAGATAAAAAGGTTGACACACAATAGCCATGAGCTATTCATTAAGGATTCTGTTTTATCCCAATCCCTAAAAAAAGCATTCTGGGTTTCTGTTCTGCTGAACTGTGACTGACCTTGAATCATTTGACAGAACCAATGAAATATAGTGTTTTGGGTTTGAAACTCCCCCCTCCTAATAATTCAGCACATCTATATCCAGGAGCAATTTACATCCAAGCATATATTTAACTACATCCTTAAACCAATGGAGCCATTACTTCAATTCTGTAATAGTGTGACTTCTTTGCCGGCTGGAAGGAAAGTCCTGTGCTCCTTAGATAAACAAGGAAAAAGAGTAGCTTCCTTTACATTGTTTGAGATGTTTTTATGTGTAAAGTAGATTAGCATAAGACAATCAATCCCTTGTCATGTAGAGCATGTGTTAAAACAGCACAATAAACATTCCCATGTAATAAAGTTTATTATCACTAACAGGTGCAGTTCTTTCAATGCCAAACTCCAAAGAGAAACCTCTGCTCAGCACTTAAACACACACCAGGTATGCTGCCCTTAACTTAAACATTCAAGCTTGCCTTATATGAAATACCTTTTTTAAGGTGATCAACTTTCTTACAATGAAAAGGACACAAATAAATTGACGAAAAAAACAAAGCCACTTGCACGCAGCGGACTCTTGCGTGTGGCACACTTGCGCACAGTGCACTCCCTCAAAACAATTCTGTGTGGAGCACATACGTCTCATAATCACATCTTGCCACACTGTTCCGAGCCTTGACAAATAGTCATGTCAAATACAAATACACACATCACACACAATGGATCAGATCAGCATCGATCAAATACGGAGATTTACAGATTCGTCTTCAAATATCAAAAAAGAGGACATTTTTTGAGGGAGTACAGAACTTACAAAAGGAGGACTGTCCTCCCTAAAGGAGGACGGTTGGTCTCCTTACCTTTATATACTACCTTTCCAACATAGTTCTCCTCCATGAGTTTTATCCATGGATAGACTTCATTAAAACCATGTTGTAACTGAGAATGTGAATTTTTAAATCCTGTGGGACCTTGAAAGACAGCTGTTCATTACAAGATGAACTTCTTTCTAATTTGTGAATAAGATGAAAGGTAAGAGGAAGAACTGCTAGTAAAGAACATTAAACTGATAATTGTTGTAACATC